GCTGCGGAATGAAGTTCTGGCAAGTGTCCAAAGCATCAAAGCATTTGAAACAACTCTAGTTTGGCTCTGTAAGCCATGGAAATTGGTGAGATGGGACCAAAAGACGCCAGCGCTCTTTGAATCCAAGGAAGAAACATCTAGAAACAGTCACTCTCTTAGCCCCATTTTCCTGCATTTAGGGAAGATGCAGGCAGAAAACTCCAGTGGGTCTTACTCAAAACTGTTTCTGGGTTTTAAACTGAAACTGATGCCTTTAATGTCCAAGTTGTGGTGGCAACTGGCCTGGCGCATGGCCCCTGGGCCTGAAAGAGGGCTTATAAAGAGATGCTCTTAAAAAGATTTCTGGGTATCGACAAACTCTTAAAAAAATCAGAACATGTTGATGAGTTGAGTGTACACACGTGAGGAACGGAAGGATTCAGATTTTCTTTGAAACACAGGCTTTGGTATGAAGGGGGAAGAACATCCAGTTGTCAAACAGGCTTGAGGTTTTATGAACCCAGAAATTCTGGAGAGCAGTTTGAGATGTTTTCCAAACCCTAAATACTGTAGGGTTAAGCCTTCCCTCTAACCAATTAGATAGCTGACATTTCATTCTGTGGATTTCTCGATTGTTTCTTCTTTTTTAAAGCAAACAAAATAATTAGCCTTGTTTCAGGGTAATTTTGCTAATATTTCCATGATTAAATAATTACTTCAACTCTGAATTAAAAACTGTCCTGCTGTCTCTGGGTACAGTAGGCAGTCAGCTGTTTTAATAACCCCCGAGGGTGGTCACGTTAAGGACTCAATTTATGACCTTATAGATTAACACAAGGAAACCTACTCCATAATGCAACAGACAATTCTATTTATAATGTTTAATTAATCCCCTCCAGTCACTAACAGAACCCACTTGTGGCTTTCGTTTCAACCCCACCCAAATGCAAATCTCCTGAGATGAGACGTGTTAATATGTGAATGCTGATAGAATTTGCTGGCATGATGGTCGAGTATTAAATAGCTGACAGTCTGGATAAATTAGCTCCCGATAGCTCACTAATCAAATGTAAGAAGAAAATGTCGAGTTCGGCAGCACTGATGAAAGCCTTCATCACAACCCTGAGCTGGAGAGAGGTAGAGAGAGAGGAAAATGTCCAAGTCTGACACTGCCTGAAAACACTAGCTCTGAATTTCAGGACGTCTTGGCAGAGCAGACAACCAAGAGAAAGTATCAGAACTGTATCGAAGGATGGCTGTGGGAGGCCAACCTGGTGGCTCCATTTGTCTTTTGTCACTAGTACCCTCAGGCTGCCTTCTCTTTGATACAGAAAACCCAAAGTGGTAACCAACTCTAGGCTGCCTTACCTAAGGTGGTACAAACAGAGTGGAGTTACCTGGAAAACTCCAAGCACCTCAGAAAACTACAGGGTGTGGGCAGAGTAATTTTTGCAGACCTAGAAGATTCTCCCGGGGAATAGGCCCTGGGAAGGAGGCAGGAGGCTCATACGCTACATGGACATAGGACTTCTGCCTTGTGGACTGGCATCTTGGAATATATGCATGGAGGACTTTATCAGGTTTTAGGACTGTTCAGGCTACTTCCATATGTCCTCCTGAGTCAGGAAAATCGATTTCGCTCTTTTTTGTCCACCACATTTGAGAATCCACATAATGTGATACTTCTGGCTCTGCTTGGTGTCTTTAGGCAAATTCCTTAACCTCAATGCCTTAGTCCTCTCGTCCACAAAGTGGAAATCCTCACAGCGCCCACTTCTAGGGTGGTTGTGAAGATTGCACGGAGTTAGTACAGAGGATGGCTTGACCTGGTGCCCGGCATACAGTAGGCGCTCCGTAGCCTTGGCTGTTCTCAGCACAGCGTCACTCTGCTGTCTGTCTCCTCTGCCGCATCAGGCTGTCATGGTTTCTCCTGGCTAGCTGCCGGACTTACTTCCCTATTCCTGGCCCACATCTCTTCCGGTACCTCATACGCAGTCTTGCCAGCCAAATCTTTCACCGTCTACCTCTGATCCTGTCCTGCCTTATTCAGTGTTCTGCAGAACTCATCAATGTCGAAACTCCTTAATTTTGAATTCAAGGCTTGGTGGGCCCCTGCCTCCTGCCCTCATTTCTCTCTCTGCTCTTACATTTCACTGTGCCTTCTCATGAACCCTCACCTCCGCTGGAGCCACAGTTCCCTCGCTCTCTTCTGCCTGTCCTAGCGTGTTCTTGCTTCACAGGTATAAACTGTGCCCACCGTTCTCTCCACTTGGACGTTACTTCTCCCCAGCATCTTCTGGTCCAAATCCTAGCCATCCTTGAAAGCCAAGTGCCACCTGCACCTTGGGGCTTTTCTGATCTATCATGTTACCTCCCTCTTTCTTTTCTGACCCCCAATGTCCTTTATCTGTTTTTTGTTTTTTTTTAAAATCCTTAACCCTAGTTACCTGCTATTACAGGTATCAATTCATATGCCCCGCTACTTAGTATGTGTGATATCCCACTCTCTGAGCAACTTGGATTGAGGCTGATTCTTCCATGTGCCCTACTTAGTCCTGTCCTCAACCCTATGCTATGCACAAAACAGGCCCTTTCCAACAAGAAGTTGGGAGTTAATAATATTTCAGAGGGGCTTGGAATAATGACAGCCTGGCCCTGTGGTCCATCCTTTCAGTGACTTATTCTCATTAACTTTTGCTCTGTACATGAGTGCTTATGGAAATATTTCAACTCAAAAAGTACATGGGATAGAAACCATCCTATCAGCAGGAAAAACAAACATACAAAATGCACAGCTGATCCCCAAACAATGGATTGTTTTTTAAGAAGCAGCAATGAAACAAAACCCTGGAGTCTGGTACCTTTGTATCTGGTTACTACTGCTGCGTTGACACTAAGAGGCTCCTGAAAGCTGACGGTGAGTGCGGTGCTGCTGGTCACCATGAGACAGGCGCTGGCTGGCACCTCAGGGGCTCCTGGGACAGAAGGAAAAACGTAAGGATCTTAACATCGCAAATCCTTTTTAGACAATGTTCCTGCCTCTTCAAAGGATACCCTGAAACACACACTATGGAAACATTTGTTTGTAGAGCCTAATAGCTTTTGCTTTTGAACATTTTCATTAGAAGTCTCAATGGTCTTTATTTGTTGCCATCGTGGTCTTATTTGAGCATCAGAACATCTTCTGAAGGGGTAAATAATACCAGTTAAGCCTTCCCAAAGTATCCTGGAAACACAACAGGAGATTGGCCTGGACCAACCGAGAGCAGGCCAGAAAGTGTTAGCTGGAAACGGCTGTTGACAGAGGCTGTTACATTTCATAAAGTACTTCTATGGAAATCATTTCATTGGAGCCTTTTTGCAACCCTGTGGGGTAGAAAAGGCAAGTAGAGCATGTGCCCAATTAGGATGAGGAACCTGCAGTCCAAAGAGGCCACACTACTTGTTCAAGGACGCAGCAAAGACACACAGCTAGGACGAAGGCCTGTGGCTTCGGATGCCTGATTCGGGGCTCTTCCCAGGATAGAATGCCGACCTGCCTTCTCTCATGCTGCCTCCTATTAGATCAAGTAACGTTTTCTGAGAGAATTCACGGACCAATGCCATGCCCATTAACCTCAGGTTTTAAAGGACTCCTGATAGTTCTACGTGTTCCTTAACACCCAGAAGGTGTTTTGTGATTTAGAAAATTACCCCCCAAATGGCAGTAAGTCTAAAACTATGACTGCTTCTAGTAGTAATCTGTCCTAAATGAGGCACAATTGCAAATGCATTTATTAAAACAATTGCCAAATGTCTCTTTTTAAAAAAAAAAACAACAACCCATGTATCAGCGTTGCTGAAGAGATTGTTAATTTTGAAAGCAAACTTTCATTAATGTTGCTTAAGGTGTTTGCTTTAAGAGAAAGGATTAGGCTTAGATTCAATCCTTAGTATACAGAACTGCTTCAGAGAACAAGATTTTCACTGCCTTTGGTCTTTATCTATAGCACAAAGCAGAGGCAGATATTTCCAAACTAATGAACTGATCTTTCCCTTATATTTAAATACTCAAGTCCAATTTTTTAAAGTGTTGTTTAAATAAGATCTACTTTTGGAACAAGATTTTAATATTTCCCAAGTTTGAAATTGATACTTTTTTATATCAGGGACCTTCCAGTGCTAATGAGCATTATCCAGAAACAAGGCTTTTCTTAAAACTAACAAAGAAGAATCGATGAAGAGAATGGAAGTGCAGACAAAGCATAATTCAGGGGCTGACTGATTATCCTCTGTGGCCTGTATTAACCAAAGGTCGGTTTATATAAGCTCTCTATAAAAAAATGCAGTAGAGTTGAAAACAACTTAAACTTGTGTTGGAGGCAGAAACTGGACAAATAGGCAAACAAATATTTTCCACCTCCCCATCCCAAAATATAGCCACTTAGGGTATCAGACCATCCAGGTTATTAGGCATTAGGGCGTATCGGGTGGAAAGTGCTAGATGAGTGTGACACGGTGGAGAGAGGCCAGCAGCACTGAAGCCTCATGGCTGTGGTCAGAGAACCTATCGGGAGCCAGAAAATCAAGCAAGACAAAAGATCCTTTTACAGCTGCCCAGAGCCCTCACTCCAAATAGGCTGACAACGGCCATCCATGACCCTGGAGCAGAGTTGAAAAAAAAAAATCAGTAAAAGAAGGCCTGGCTGTCTCCAACCAACCTGGCTTCTAGTTACATGCAGAAGTCCTCTGCTTATACTCACTGGCGTGCTCGAAGCCGGTCCTCATGCGTCTGTAGAGCCGACACCTCCACTCCCACGCTTTCAGCTGTTTCTCTTTCTCTGTGTTGTCCAGACTGGGTCCTTCGTTCTCCACCTGGGCAGACAGTTCACTCACCCTCTGCTGGGCTTCCTGCACCAGTGTGGCGAGGTGCATTGCTCGGCTTTCCAGGCTGACAACTGCAGGGAAAGACATGGGTGACTCCTTTCTCTTTCTGGGGAGACGCTGCTTCGAGGGCATGGGAGTTAAGAGTTGACTCTGGGGTTTAAAAAATGCCCCAGGGTAAGTGGGATCTATGTTCCTTATTAACTGACTTATCCTGATAAGGTCTAAGTGGTGACATTGACAACTAGGCTTAAATGGTAAGTCCATCAATTTAAGATACTTTTCATTGCTCTGGGGCCCTCTTGTCATATGCACCCCAAATAGCTGCCTAGCACAGTTCATTAGAATTCCACCATCAAGTACCCATGAGGACCACTTCTCACCCAGATTGCACACAGTTGTTTCCATGATCTTTACAAAGACAGACACTTAGGGCCAAAAGCTCTGTAGGGCTAGGAAGGTCGTAGGAAAAGGCATCCACGAGGCAAGCTGCATTCCGTTAAAGTTGTTTGGTCCTTTTTTTTTTTTTTTTTGGTAGAATCTGATTCGAATGTTCTGCTCTTATCACATTCTGCCAGCTCACAGACATTTCTGTACATACGTCTTAGTGGCGTAATTCTGTTATAATTAACCAATTCATTTATTGCTGACGAAGTGTCCCACTCCCACTGCCGCAGTTATGCTAGTGAGTTCTGATGACTGGGTGTGATCAGACTATGATCTATCAATTCCATCTCTGACCGTGATCTCAAGGAAGGAATGAATGGTCTCTGGAGATGCCCATTCTCAACAGCAGCAAGTTCAACTACTCCTCTTGCTGACAGAGATTATATAGTTTGATATTTCTGTTTTACTCCATACTTGGCATCTCCACGAAATTCACATCGTGCTGGTTCATCTGACCCCGCCCTTGTGGGAGTGAACGTTCGTGACAGTGACAGAATGCTTCACATTCGTGTGTCAGGTTGGGAAGCTGCTTCTCGGGGTTTCCTCATGGCTCCTATATATTGGAGGGCTGCCTCGGCGGTCCCTCGGTCACTTGGGAGGAGCCCTCCCTGGTTAGTGGTAAGGGGGCAACAGCCTCAGCACGGGCGTGTGGAAGGGAACCATGCAAAGAACAGCACAGATCAGAACCAAGCTCCGCTGCTCTGTCACCAACGTGTGGTTGACACTCTGTGTGACCAAACCAGTATTCCCCCGGGGGGTGGGAAAAAAATCCAAACATTTCATTCTTCTAATTAAGGGGGGAAAATATTACGAAGATAAGTGAAAATTTGTTAGGTGCATTCTGAAATGGAAATTAGGTGGTTATATATTCATATTCTCTGTGTTCATAGGCATGTTTGCATTAATTACAGGAAATGAATACTAATTTATTATTGCCCCTGCTCACCATCAGTCTCAATTTATTTACAGATGAGGTCAATGAAAAATTAGTTGAGTCTTTTTTCTTTCTTTTTCTTTCTTTTTTTCTTTCTTTTTCAAGTTGCTGTTTAGAACACTCAGGACTGTGTTTTGCTGCAGGTTTCTCATGGCTAATGAGTGTTGCTCTAGCAGTCAATCATGTCCTCTGAATACCGTCACACTTTTTTTAAAGCCTCAGTCATGAGCCATGACAGAAAAATAAACAAATAAATATAAAGCTAAAAAACTCTTTCACTGAGCAGCTACACTATGCAGAATCCCCCGGGAAGGCTAAAGGAGGCCAGAATAAATGATAATATAAGTGCTGTGGACGTAGGGAAGCAATGATGGCGTATGAACGCGGAGGCTCTGGAGAAAAAAAATACACATACACAAACGCGGGCGCATACTCCAGTGGAAAAATTGGCAATATTAGTAGCCTCAAGGTGCAATTTCCTGGAGCAGTGAGATTGACAAGTCAGTACTAAATGCTGTTAATTTAACTAACTTCAGATTAATGGTAGAGTCTGCTATGACTGAAGGCCTCAAACACAGTCTCATTATAGCCTTGCTGGGAAGGTCCTAAATATAGGCATTGACAGTTGAAAACAAATTCGTATACATTTGTGTATTTTTAGACATAGGTTAGGCGTCAGGGTTTGTGTCACAGTTCTCAGGTTGATTAATTGACCCAGTAACTGCACCCTCTACCCACGGCCCCCCTCCTTCTCCCACTCCAAATTATAGAGAAAATGGGGGAATTGTCCTTGCTAAGTCATTCAGTGAGCTTTTTATTGTAAGCCTGATGTTTGAGTTGCATGCATGCGTCAACACTTGGGTGATAGACATATGATTTATAAAAATAAATTTTTCTAATACTATGAAATCCCCCCTATTAATTTTTATATCCACAACAGTTATTACTGGTGTGAATTCCAGGTGGCATTTCAGATGGACAGCTTCTCCTGAGCTATGCTTGGCTCCCCCTGAAATTTTTCCTGCTTTCCTTAGCACAACGTGCTTTGTTTCTACACTTTCCCTTTCCTCCGAGGCTGGGGCCTTGACGCTGTTTGCGTTGTAGTGGTGAAGGGATTCTACATCTTTAAGGTAAAGCATGTTGCCTCTTCAGAGGCTAAGGGGAAACCTATTCAATTTTACAGCCAGGTGAATCTTCCAAGATCACCAAGATCCTTGTGCTTCTCAAACTGGGATGCCTAAACACCAACATAATATGCTGGTGGGCAGGGGGAGGTGCAGTGGGCATCTCTGGAACCACAGAATGAATATGGGCATCTTCCTGGGGCATCAGTTTCTCCATACAGATTTTGGTGAAAGCATATTATTTAGAAATCAAAGCAAACACTTCCGGTGGAGAATGGAAAATTTTCCCCAAAATTGAAAGCTTAAAAAAAAAAAAAAAGAGGAACTTTATAGAAATCTGCCCCCCCCACTTTTTTTTCCAGGCTAAGTCCCCAGGTACCCCTGAGAACACACTCACTTGCCTCTGTTGCTAGAGGTAATTCCATGGACAAGAAGAAGAAACACTAACTGAGCCAGTGGTTTCCAACCATTTCACCCAGCAAAACGTTTATTATTTTTTTTTCCTATGGATTTTTTAATAGCTTATTAAAACATTCTCTTTTGAAAGATTTTCTTTATCGACTACCAAATCAGCTGACTTACAAAGTAATCATTTTTCTCCCTATTATTAATAACCTATATAACTGCCAAGAGTCGCATCTGTTCAGTATGAGATAATCAACCTAGCAAAGTGGGTTAATATATTTTAAGCAGAAGCAATACGATGATTATATTAGACTGTTTCATTTTATCTTGAGTGATGGTGGGAAGTTTAGGCTTTTTGACACCTTGCACACTATTCTGAGAGCTCCCTTCCTATTTTTGCCACTGCAGAATGAGAACATTTTAACCCCCTTATTTTTATTTTTTTAACTCACCTGTTATAAAGCTGAAGAAACCAAGACCCAAGTAGGGGAGATTATTATCCAAGATTTTCTTAAAAACCTTAAAGAACCCAAGGAACTTCCTCTAAACCAAATGGAATGCAAATTAACCCCGTATTTATGTATTGCAATTTTCTAATTGCTATCGATTTGGCCCGAGGCTGATGAGCTCATTTTGGGTGGCTGGTTGGACAGAGAAACTAGAAAGGCTATGTCTATCATATGATTGGTTCTCCTGCCCATCCACTTCTCTTTCTCTTGGTTCCCTTCCCCTTTTACTTCCACACTCGGGATATTTTCCTCTTGAGTGCACAATTTCCGATCTGTTTGCAAGGTCTGGTCTTTTCTCTCTTACTGCAGTTGGCTCCTTCTCCAGCCAAGCAACTATCCCTCTGAGCAGCCATGGCCAGCACAATAGAGGGTCTGTGAGTGTGTGGTGAGCCGGCCGGCTGGGGCAAGACCACTCGGCTGCTCCTGAAATAGGCCCCATGCTATTGTGGTGTTTAATTATCAACAGCATTTCTACCACCCAGTGTCTGAGTGGGTATTTGTTCTAAAACCTGCCCAGCTAATTAACTACGAGGTGGGGGCAGGGGTGGGGCGGGAACTTGGTGTTCAAAGAATACAATTACGGTTACTGTTTAAATCCTGAGATAAATAATGATCGGACTGAATGTTTTTTCCTCACCATCAGACTCTAACCTATGGAGCGCCTACTACGTACTATTTCTTAATTTCGCCTTGCCCTGCAACTGGTGAGTTTGGGCCTGGTTGATAATTGCTTAGAGATTGAAAATGTCGTAACGAGGGTAAAATGTAAACTAATTTTAATTCTTAACTGAAAGTTTTAGGGAATAATTCATTTGATTTGCTTGGAAAAAATGAATACATTTGCCTATTACTAATGATATGGCATTTTGCAACTCAGTAACAACTTTTCTATTGTTACTAGCATTTTTCTTTTCTTTTTTTTTTTAAATTTATTGATGAGAAAAGAAGGTACAAGACAATTCTTTAGTCTGAATGTCTGAAGGAGCCTTAGAACCAGCCTTAGATGATTCTTCTTATAACACCCTTGGCCCTATACGATTTCCTCTAGGAGGGGAACTTGCTGCTCACCAAGGCGGCCCTATCCATTCTCACTTTTAGTTTTAATTTAAAAGAGTTTAATTTAATTTTAAAAAGTTTCCTCATCCTAAGCTGAAATCTGCTCTCATCTTATTTCCAAACTGGAGGTAAAGTGGTAAAAGGGCTTTAGGTTATCAATCTAGATCAAGCACTGCCCGTTATGAATGTGTGATTCTCACCAGTTACGCTGCCATCTTGAACCCAGTTGTCTCATCTGAAAAGTAGCACAGTAAGCTGTCTCATAAGCTGCGATAAGTTATTGGTAATCTTTACACAGATGGCTCTCAATAGTGGGGTTTTGTATTATTATTACACTCATTGGTCATAGTTCTTAGAGGCACACAAAAATAAATCAAATACTTGTTTTATAAAATAGCTCTATGTCCTTCTATTAAAAAAAACCAAAAACCAAAAACCAAAAAACAAAAAAAAATCCTCTTGCCCCCAGGTAAAAATCTTCTGTCCCAACTACCAGTCAGAAATATATTATATACTAAGTGGTGTCAGTTTCAACCCTATCTGTTATTTCAGAGAAGAACAAAAGGTCACTTAGGTATAAACCTTGAATTGTAAGCCAG